GACGGCTAATGAAAATTAATTCGTTAGTTGATACAATGGATTTCCATATACATACTTGCATAAAAGATTGCAAACAGTTTTCTCATATCTACATGTATATATATATGCAATTTATATTCTCTTTATACATGCAATAAAAAGTATTATTGCATATGCAATTATTCCGATGCGCCTACCTGCATTATATTTTTATATACAATATATATATATATATGTATATAGATAGATAAATGCAAAAATTGTTGCATATGCAATTGTTACAGTACATATCTATGCATTATATTTATCATATACGTACATGCATATAATAAATGAGGAAATTATTGCGTATGCAATTGCCGCAATATATCTATGCATATCATATGCAACAGATAATCCTATTATCATATTATATATGCATATTAATGTGGTTTTATAAAAAAATATTTAAGGAAATATTTATAAGTACATTTAAAAAAATATTAGAAACAAAAAAAAAAGAGAGAAAGAAAATAAATTGGTTATTTTTCTCTTGACGGTACAAAAATTGACGTCGCAAAATAATTTCATTTCTAATATAAAAAAAAAATTTTTTTCGTTGCATTACTCGAGACTCATTACTTTAATTTTTTATGTTTGTCTCTCCCGTCCCCACATATCTCTCTCTCTCTCTCTCTCTCTCTCTCTCTCTCTCTGTCTCTCTCTTTCCCTCTTTCCCTTTTTCTCATTCACTTTAATGCATCTATGCATATCATGTGCGACACATAATCCTGTTATCAAACATAATTACACAAAAAATTAAAAAAAATATATATATATATACAAATTGAAGTATCTTCTTCATAACACAAAAAAAAATTGATGTCGCAAAGTAAACAATGTAGCTTTTAATATAAAAGTATGGTTTCATTGCATTACTCGAAATTCAAATGTAATCTTAACTTTTGATGTTTCTCTCTCTCTCTCTCTCTCTCTCTCTTTCTCTTTCTCTCTCATATACACACATAGAGAGAGAGAGAGAGATACACATATACATACATTCACGTTTATTGTATTATATGTACTGGTTCTTTCAATATTGCATCCTGCGTCAAGTGCACCTAAGAGAGCGGACGAGAAGGAGCGTCTCCTTTTCTCTCTCTCTCTCTCTCTCTCTCTCTCTTTTTCTCTCTCTCTCTTTCTGTCTCTCTCAATGTGCATCGGCAACTGCAACGGCAAACGGCAACGCAGCAGGAAAAGATGGCTCGTTTCCTCGCATTGTTTTTAACCGTGTGGTGTTGTATATAAGTCCCGGCTACGCGCAGGGACATGGGAGCGGATGCGGGGTGCAAACACGCGAACGTACGTCGGTCTACCGAGTGTGCATATATATATGTATATACATTTATATATATATATATACATTCATATATATATATATATATGTATATATGCACCGGCATCGCGGCCTTTTACAAGTCGCGATATATCCGCGTGCGTTTTCATGATTCAACGGAAGCCACGTGAATATGAAAAGAGAAACGAGAAAGAGAGATAGAGAGAGAAGGAAAAGAAGAGAGAGAGAGAAAGATAGAGAGAGAGAGAGAGAGAGAGAGAGTGAGATAATTAAAATTCTTAATTAGAGTTTCTAAGGAAGAATTATTATTTTTTATTATCTTTTTTTTCCTCTCTCTTCTTTTCCTTTCATTTCTTTTCTATTTTCTATTTTCTATTTTTTTTTCTTTTTTTTTTTTTTTTTTTTTTTTTTTCTAGAACTAACATTGGGAAACTATTTCCTTATTAAATTTCTACAGATTAATTTCTCTCCCCCCCCTCTCTCTCTCTCTCTTTCTCTCTCTCTCGCTCCTTCTCTTTTTAATTTCGTCCCGTTATCGAGCTTGTTAAATAAGTTACGATCACGAAATCAAATTCGACGTCACTACCGGTAAGACAGGATGCCACAGAAATAGATAAAGAGAAAAAAAGAGAGAGAGAAAGAGAAAGAGAGAGAGAGAGAGAAAATGAGAGGTAGAGAAGGAGCCAAGTTTAGCAAACTCGAGTTTAATAAATTAGCATTTCCTTCTTCGGGAAACGTTCCGTTGTTACGACGAGAGGCTATAGAGGATCTGTGTGCCCTACCGGCTGATTTTAAATGCCGGAAGTCGACTCTCTTCTCTCTCTCTCTCTCTCTCTCTCTCTCTCTCTCTCTCTGTTTCTCTCTTTCTCTCTCTCTCTCACTATCTATCTATCTATCTATCTATCTCTCTCCCTCTTTCGACTTCCTGCCGTTTATACCAACATTTCTTTCCTTGGTAACATCTGCCGTCCGTCGTTGCTCCAATGATCGTCCCTCCCCCCTTCCCTTTATCCTCCTCCTCCTCCTCCTCCTCCTCCTCCTCCTCCTCCTCCTCCTCTTCATCCTCTTCTTCTTCCTCTCTTCCCAACGCTTCACGATCTTTTTCCTTCTTTATCGAAGCTTCGCGGTATATCTCGTTTAAAATCATTAAGAAATTCAAATTCTTTTTTGTCTTTTCTTTTCTTTTTTCTTCAACTTCTCCTCCCCCTCTTCTTCCTCCTCCTCCTCCTCCTCCTTCTCCTCCTCCTCCTCGTCCTTTCCTCGCTTCCACGTCAAATTTGGATACCTACCACTTTCTAATGGGGGCCCACGCATAATCTTCGTTGAACTCGGTCAATGATCCTCCTCCCGTCGTATTCCTCTCTGTCTCCTTGATCTTCAGGTATGCAGGCAGGGGTTTAAGTTGGATCGTTCGTTCGTTCGTTCATTCGTTTATTCGTTCGGTCGGTCGGTTGGTCGGTTGGTCGGTCGGTCGATCGGTCGGTCGGTCGGTTGGTCGGTCGTTCGTTCGTTCGTTCGTTCGTTCATTCGTTCGTTCGTTCGTTCGTTCGTTCGTTCGTAGAAATCCACCGGAAGTCCTAAAAAGCAACGTTATCTCGTAAATGCCTACCAAAATGGATCGTACAAGCTTTCGTCCATATCTTTTTTTTTTTTTTTTTTCTTTCTTTTTCTTTCTCCCTTTTCTTTCTTTTTTTCGATAATCGAATAACAACCGATTTCTCTTTCCCTTTTCTTTATCTCTCTTTCTCTCTCTCTCTCTCTTTTTATGCCCATTATATACATATATATATATATATATATATTTATATGATGTACATATACGTGAATGCATATGTACGTATGCAAACGATGTCGAACGAAGAAAAAAAAAAAAAAAGAAGAAGAAGAAGAAGAAGAAAGATGAAATACAAAGAAGATTTACAGCAGCATTTCTGAATTTTCTTCAATATTAGGGGAACACACGGGAGTATGTATGTATGCATTCATGATGTATGTACGCATATAAGTACGCGAGTAAGGATAGGCAGGGATGATTAAATGGCGCCTTGGTTGACGCCGCCGAATAGCTTGTTTGTAGGTCCCCATCGGTGCGTTTATTTCTACGCGTTGCGTCTCGTCGCACCGCCCGGCCGAATCCGGACGGCATGCGTCACAAGTTATTTTTACGTCACATCGTCTGTCTCTTCGTATTTTCTCTCTCTCTCTCTCTCTCTTTCTCTATCTATCTATCTGTCTTTCTCTCTCATACGTTTGCATGCACGTGTCCTCTCTACACGATCATTTATTCGTGTAGGTGTTACACGTGGAAAGAGAACGTATACGGAAGATTTGATATATATATATATATATACATATATATATTTATATACATATATGTATATATAAAACATACATATATATATATATATGTATATGTACACGTATATATGTCCATACATAAATATATATATGTACGTACATAAATATATATATATATATGTATATATGTATGTATGTATGCGTATATGCATTTTCTCCTCTTGCGACGATAAATCGTTCATCCTAAATCTAAATTTTAATCGCTCGATGTTTGCTCGTTTGTTTTCTCACAGTATTCTGGTATACGAATTGGACCGGTCGTGAAGAAGGACGTGATGAAGGCCTCGATTATGCTTGAACACGACAGTCAGTGAGTATCCTTTAATTTGTAATCTTCTTTTTCTCTCTTTCTTCCTTTTCTTTTTCCTTCTCCCTTTCTTTCTCTCTCTCGCTCTCTCTCTCTGTCTCTCTCTCTCTCTCTCTCTCTCTCTCTGTCTCTCTCTCTCTGTCTCTCTCTCTCTATCTCTCTCTTTTTCTTTCTCGATTTCTTCGCTGAAGGAAGTACGCTGGTTTACTCCGTAATTTCACGTAAGCAACATTTTCTTTTGCTCTATCGCACAGATATGCCACAATTCTGGCTTTTGATGTAAAGATAGAGAGGGACGCACAAGAACTCGCCGACTCGTTGGGGGTCAAGATCTTCCAAGCCGACATCATCTACCACCTGTTCGACAAGTTCACATCCTACAGGGAGGAACTTAAACAACGCAAGCGAGACGAGAATAAACACATTGCCGTTTTTCCTTGCAAACTACGTGTCTTACCGCAGGTAATACTTAACATAAACTTGTGTTTACATTTACATAGTAATATCGTATATCGTATTGCGAATGAAATATCTTAGTGCTGGTGGAAGAAAAGTAAAAGTAAAAAGATAAAGAAAAGAATATAAAAAAAAAGAAAAAATTAAATAAAAAAATAAAAAAAGATGAATATATAGCGACGAAAAAGAAAGGAATAGCAAAAAAAAAAAATATCCGGTTTCGTTCGTTCGTTCGTTCGTTCGTTCGTTCATTCATTCATTCAGTCATTCAGTCATTGATTCATTCATTCACAGTTTTCATTTCATTCATTTCTCTTTACGCAGTATATCTTCAATTCAAGAGATCCTATAGTGATGGGCGTTATGGTCGAAGCCGGTATCGTTAAGGAAGGAACGCCGCTCTGCGTGCCAAGCAAAGATGTGAGTAATTCGATTTTGTTTGTTTTTTTTTCTCTCTCTTTTTTTCTTTTTTTTTTTTTTTTTTTTTTTTATTCCATTTGTTTCCTCCTAACTTTAATGATTTTCGTTAAGTGCCGAGACAACTCTTAAATATTTCCTATCTTCTTCTTTTTTCTGTTATTTTTTTCTTTCTTCTTTTTTCTCCTTTTTTTTCCTTCTTTTTTTTTTCTCGACAACTACGACACACAAATGTGACGTAGGAGAAAGGTTAGTGAGAGGCCAGTCTGGTAGTAGTGACGAATAACGTAGGTAGAATCTTTTCGCGAGAGATTCGCGTGGGAGATTCGAAGTATTCGCTCTGTGTTTACTATCGTATTAGAGTCATTACGGTCCGATAGGAAATGGAATTATTTATTTATTTATTCATCCTTTTTTCTTCTCTTTTATTTATTTATTTCTCTTTTCTCTTTTTTTTTTTCCATCGCGTTTGCTTCCTCTCGCACTCTATTTTTTTTTCTCTTTTGTACTTACACGTCTTCTTTTTTTTCTTTTCTTTTTTTTTTTTTTTTTTTTTTTTTTTCTTTTACAAATTCTCTATCGAATGTTGAATGTATTTTGAGTCAAATTTTATATATATATATATATATCAAGATTATATATATATAAAATGGATGAAATAAGAGAAATAGGAGAACGACGAAGAGAAGGGGAAATGGAAATGGAAATGGAAGTGGAAATATGAAAGAAGGGAAGAGAAGGAAGGTGTTGGATACTCTCTCTGTGATCATTGTTGAGCGTAGGTGAACTCGTTCCTCCACGAGGTATATGGGCGATCCAGTTGGTTGGATCGATCGACTCGATCAAACGACCGGACGTCTCTGTATACCAACTCAAGTCGTCGACTTCGACTCGACTCAACTCAACTTAACTCAACTCGAATCCGCGCGGTCCCTTATCCGAGGTCTCTTTCTCTTCCTCGTAGGAGGAAGGTTGTGGGTAGTCGATCCCACTGGCCTCACCTTACGCGGTAACGTGCGAGTGTTACAGGTTGCCTAGCCTTGATTTCGTAGGCGTTCGGACCCGCACCCGGTGAATTCCCAAGCTTCGAAAAGGAGATAAGAGGAAATCATAGGAGTAAAGGAAAAACAAAATAATAATAATGATAATAATAATAATAATGATGATAATGATAATGATAATAAAATGAAAAAGGAAAGAAAGAAAAATATATAATGGTTTTATCCTCTCTCTTTTTTTTTTTTTTTTTTTTTTTGGAAACCAGAAAGATAATGGAGAATAGTCGTTTCATAAAATGAACGGTAACATTGTCCGATAATGGATGAAAAAAAAAAAAGGAAAAGAAGAATTTTTAAATGAAAATTTGAAAAAACTTTGATAAATTCTATTCAGTTTAGGAGTGGGGAGATGGAGTAGCGGAGTCAATGAAAAAGTTGGTTTTGCCATTTAAAAAATCAATTTTATTCCTCGCTCGAGACCTTTCTAATGCTAATTTTTTTTTTCTTTTTCTTTTTTTTTTTTTTTTTTTTTTAACCCGCGCGATATTAGCCTAGGCTATGAAATTGTAGTTAAACGACTTTGAAAACAAATGTTAGCCAAGATATGAATTTTTTTTTTTTTTTTTTTTTTTTTTCTTTTTTTTTTTCTTTTTTTTTACATTGAAATTGCGCAGAAATTTTCATTATATAATAAATTTTTATACGATAAATTCTTTTTACAATTATGATCGAACAGAATAATTTTTATGTTTTGAATTGTCGACATAAAAAAAGTAGTAAACTTTTTCATTCAAAAAACAAATTTATATATATATATATATATATATATATATATATATATATATATTTACGATCTAACTAAACGATTTTTATGAAATAATTGTTAAAGAAAAATGTTGAATTTTAAGTAGACAATAATTAACAGGACTATGCTAATCCTAATAGTTCTGTCATCTGGTATAAATTTTTATTTTTGAATTCGCCAAGAGCGAGAGAGAGAGAGAGCGAGAGAGAGAGAGAGAGAGAGAGAGAAAGAGAGAGAGAAAGAGAGAAGAAAAATAGATTCCTAAAAAAAAATATTCATTAAATCATCCCTTAGAGCAAGCTACAATTTTTACCAAGAACTAATCGTTATTAGAAAAATATTTAGAAATTATTTTCATCGTAGTCATAAAGTGTCATGAAAAGAAAAACGAAGTAAGAATTACTATTGTAACTATTCTGCATCGAAAAAGATAGAGAAAGACAAAAAAAGAGAGAGAGAGAGAGAGACAGACAGACAGACAGACAGACAGACAGACAGACAGACAGACAGACAGACAGAGATCAAAGTTATTTAACAAAGCTGTTCTAGCTTCTGTATAAGGGGCATTCCCGAAGCGTATATGTTGGTATATATGTATCTCTCGTAGAAAGCAACTCCGACCACGTATGTAGCTCTGGCCCACGCGTAACTCCAAACCCAGACTGGTCGGCCGTGTCCCGGCGAGTTTATTTTTGACTTTTTAAACCGAACGTTTCGCAAACTCGTGAAACTCTGTCGCGAAGTAGGCAGGCTAACCTCGTGGCATCCTCCTCCGCCAATTAGAGGAACCCCGACATTTTTTAGTCTGGTATATATGGTTCTTAAGAGCGGAAGTTATATCGTGCTCTCATCCGGTCTCTCTCTCTCTCTATCTATCTATCTATTTATCTATCTTTCTATCTCTCTTCCTCTCTCTCTCTCTCTCTCTCTCTCTCTCTCTCTCTCTCTCTCTCTCTCTCTCTCTTATGACTTACGATAGTAATTTCTACTATGTTGTTTCGTGACATTTTATGGCTACGATGAAAATAATCATTTCTAATCGTTCTAGAGACGTAAATTTTTATTTTTTATTTTTTATTTTTTTTTTTTTTTTTTTTTTTTTTTTTGTTAATTAGATCAGTTGGATGGAATTTTGGTTCGTTGAAATAAATGATATAGAATGTATATTTGTTTAGGATTATTCAATGGCCACATTTTGTATCCGGTCTTCTCTCTCTCTCTCTCTCTCTCTCTCTTTCTTTTTATTTTTCATTGTAAAATATTAATTCTTACTTCGCTCTTTTTCATGACACTTTATGACTACAATCTTGTTTTATGAGAATAATTTCTAAAAATATTTTTCTGATAACGATTAGTTTAGCTCGCTCTTACGAATGATTTAATCGAATATTTGATTTGAGATAATACGAGGAAAAAGAATTTAATAATTACGTATCATTTAATATATGTAATAAAAATAATTTATTTTTACATTTTTTAGCCAATGAACATATTACAATTTTGTTTCTTCATATTCTTCTTGATCTTCTTCTTCTTCTTCTTCTTCTTTATCGTGTTGAAATTTGAGAATAAATTTAATGTATCGTAGGCGATCGTTGATTTGATATTAGCGAAATGCTTATGATTGTTCATTTTAATAATTTATTGTAAATCTTATAATCGACGATGAGCCTGTCGACGAGTATACTTCATCATTTTTTCTTTTATCTTTTCCATCTTTGAGATTTAAGAAGAATAAATTCTAAAGTGATGATCATCGTATATGATCATTTGACGTATGTATGAGAATTTTAATAATTCGCTTAAAATTTTTTAGCCGACCAAACCTTTAAAATGAACATACATTTCCTTTTTGTTTTTTCTTTTTTTTTTTTCTTTTCCATATAGAAATTTAAGAATAAACATTAAATATTATACATATATTATAATGAAATTACACATATGTATATATACATATATATATATATATACGTATGTATATATAATGGAAATTATATAATGGAAATGCACACGATTGTTCATTTTTGTTCGTTCTTGTTTTATTTTTTGTTTTTGTTTTTTTTTTTTTTTTTTGTTTTCTCTTCTTTTTTTTTTTCGAACGGCTGGTCGCGCGATATCGGCGCGAGTTCGCGTTTGTCGGGTCATCGAGCGTGCTCTTCTCTCTGTCGGCAGAGAGTGTTGTATTATAGTTAGAAAAAGAAAAAGAAAAAGAAAAAGAAAAAGAAGGGAAACCGATAATGTGCGGCGAAGGAAAGAACGGCAAGGGAACGGCAAGTAAAGAACGGCAATGCTAAAAGAATCCGCCGGATATCCGTTCGGCGTTAAAGAGCCTATCGAGGCCGTTGCGCAACGTGTACGTGCCGATAACGTACGCTCCGAAAGAAGGCGTGGAAATGCGTCCTCGTCGCATCGTACAAGAGAAGTGTTAGGACGGAAAAATGAGTGAGATGGAGATGGCGTGGCAGGGGGGGGAGGCTGGAGGGGGAGGAGGAGGAAAGGAAACAAATAGGATGATTGGGTGGGAGGGAAATGATAAAGGAAAGAAAGAAAAGATGTATTTACCGTTTTCTTTTTCTTTTCGAATGAATCTGTGATTTTTTTTTCCTTTTTTTCTTTTGCTTTTTTGCTTTTTTGTTTTTTTTTTGTTTTTTTTTTGTTTTTTTTTTTTTTTTCTGACATAAGTACACACACATACATCAAGTATATTTATTTTCATATCTACGATCTATTTGATCTATACATGTACGATCGTTATAAAAAAAAAAAAAAAAAAAAAAAGAAAAGGTGAAAGAAATATTAATCATTCAGATTTCATCGTATTATCGATCATTTATTTATCGTAATGCATTAGAATCTTTTAATCGGTATCATAGAAAAATTCCATCAGATCGTAATGATTTATCGATTATACCCATATTAACATCGATGGATAAATCTTTTATCTTTAATTAGCGATATTGTTCTCTATTTAAATGAAAATCATTGAGAAAATTAATCCTACTCAAGTTTTGTCCATGGTAATCGTTTATCTATATCGATCATCATTTTTTCTACACAAAATCCATGAAAAAGAGATACACACGCACAAACACACGTATTTAATGACTCTCTAAAAACTATTATAAGAAAATAAAAGGTCATTTCACTCATACGAATAATTGATCTTCCTATTTGATTTATTGAAAATCGAGTGAATATATAATATACGTGTGCATATATTATATACATATGTATATATATCTCAACCAGTTTTGAAAAAAAAAAAAAAAAAAAAAAGAAAAAAAAATAAGGGCACTATAAATGTCGTTACAAAATAAATGTCCTTTTTATAAAAACTATCGTTC